TTTTGTTAATTTTATATTTTAACAAAAATTAACTGTAGGATATTTATACGTTTTTCTAAGGATGATGAATGAAGTTTGAACTTGGAATTTTCTAATTAAAATCTTGTTATTATATTATTTCATATTTATTAAATGAAATGAAACATTTTATTAAATGCTTTATTTTAATATTATAAAGATAGAATATATATCAAACTGATGAAATTCAATTTGATCTAATTTCTAGAACTATTTTTTTGATATTTTCATTATTTATATAATAATCTTAGATACTAAAGACTATGAAAGTGACGATGATCACCTAGGAAACAATGTTGATAATTTGTATGATAAGCCAACAATTTCAAAATTAAATGATAACGATTCAATGAATCATAATCGGGCAAAGGATCCATTTTATCATGGTGAAAATAAAGATCGAGAATATCCGGATTCAAATGTTGGATACATGGAATCTGCACCATATAAATATGCTGGGATAGTTAAAAGAGCAATTAAAAAATAGTATAATAAATAAAAACTTGTTTACAATTCTATTATACTTCGATCGATAATTTAAATTATAAATTATGTAATTAAATATATAATATTTCATGAAACAAAATAAATTATATTAAGGAAAAATCAGTGTGCAAAAATATTACTATAAATACAATGATTAAAGAAAATTGAATCCGGGAAAAAACTAGGCTCAACTTGGTTCTTCTGTTTAAAAAATATTAATCAAAAGGGGAAAAAGTAGAACCTAACTTTGAATAAATTCTGAATAATATTTTATAAATTTATTAATAAGACTCCTTTCGAGAGTCTAATTTCTTAATATTGTTTATTTGAAGTAATTATTAGAAAAATTTTGGCTCAAATCACACCATCCACCCACTCATATGGAGTAAAAAAATTTCATTCTCCTGCTCATACCAAATATATACTTACTCCTGCAAATGAAATTTTCCCTGGAAAGTTATTATTATTTTAATAACTACAATTTTTTAGATTTCGAAATTAATCTAATATCTTCCACATTTATTTTAATTTATAAACCTAGTATTCGATCTTTTTATAATATTTTAAAATCTGATTATATTTAAATCTAGATATTAAAAGTAAAACTTACATGATAAAATAATATTCTATCCTCTTTTGTCAGGATTAAAATAAATAAACCATCTAAGACATTAATCACTAATGCAGGCTAAACCTGCTTCTGATATATAGATGAGAAATTATAGGAGGCTCGACAGTTGAGGTCAATAAGGTAATAGACATAATAAAATTATATAAAAATATAGGTCTAAATAAATCCCCTGAAAAGCGAGTATTGTCCCCTATAAAGCAAGGATAAATGATCTCTGAAGAGTGCCTACCGTACCTAAGGTTAACCCTAGGCTTTGAAGACTCTCGTTGCAGATTTCTTTGACCCTAGATTACTTGGTATTTTTAACATCCTGTTATTCTTAATACCTACAAATTTAATTTTGACAGAATGAAAGATCAATCTTAAATTCTGGATTTTATCTTTGCAGGTACACTACTCACATCAGATCATCAATCTTTGGAAGTCCTCTATAACATTGCAAAGAGATGAGGATGTACTCTTGGTTTGCAATTCTGTTAAATTTCTTAAATCTAGAAGCTAGCCTGTAAAACATTATCTTCTCTTTTTAACTTTATTTGAACAATATTAACACGAATGACTTTTAATACTTTTTGTGAGTATAATTTCTTACCTATGTTCATATTTTGACAAATGATCTTTGCTTGATATATTTTGTCAAAAGCTCGTTTTTTATCCTTAAATAATAAAAATCACCTTCTGATATTTGCTTTTAACAAGATATATTCATCCCAATGATTTAAAATTTTATACACATACAAAAATTATTCAAATTTCAAGAAATATAAAGAGTGAATATGATTTGTAAGCTGACTGATAAAATTCTCATTGATTTACTACAAACAAGAGGGCAGTTTTAATATTCTAAAAAAAATTGTAAAATGAACATCTAAAATTTCAAATTCATTAGGACAAGCGATTACACAACTAAAAAAAAGCATCATTTTTAGTTGTGTCAGGATGATAAAAATAATTAAATAAGCTATGATAAATTTTCGTTATTTTAAAGGGTGGTTTAATTTATTTTTGCCTTGGGCCGTCTAAGTTTTGGCACGCCCAGATGGAGATCATACGACTCTTGGAATATTTGCAAATCAACATCATATATAAAGATTTATTCTTCGAAAAATTAAATATGACAATCCCACATTCATTTATATCTATCCAACATTAAACATTTCATAATTCATTACAAGTTCAAATTTAGGTGAACACAGAGTTGTAAGAAACTTTTCAAATATATCTAGATACAAATTATCAAGATAGAGACACATCTTCTAAAAACGTATCTTGATATAGATAAATTTTTACAAATATATCTAGACACCTATAAACTGTAAAGTGTGCATAATGCTTAATTTGGGATTCTATTGTTAAAATTCAAATTTCGAAGTGAGTTAAAACTGATATACATCTATTTACAAATATATAATTAAGATAATGATTGTTATAATTAAAAATTAATATAAAATTAAATAATCAAAAATAAATGTTAGGTTTTAATAATAAAACATTCTCAAATTTTTTAACATTTTTAGCCATACTTAACTCTTTCTACTGGCCACTTGATGGCAGTTGTTATATTTACTGAATAACAAATCTTGGTATAATCATTAAATATAATATAATCCCAACACTCATTTTTATAAAAAAATTATTTAAAATTTAATGAGCGCTAAAACTTATATCAATATTTAAAATAGAATATTAAATTTTTTTCAGATCGGTCTAGAAATATTGATAAAAATTATTATGTATTATTTTAATTAATATATTATATAAAATAAATTGATTTGGTGACATGCGACACTTTATCACGCAACTTTAACGTGAATTTTATGATCACTAAATTATTATTGACTCCCAAGCCTCAATTATAAGTTACAATAATTTTTACTGCATCAATCTTTAATATATAATATAAATAAAAAAATTTAAATTAGTAATTTGGACAAATTAGGGGAAGAGTAAGCGAAAGAATTCAATCTCAAAATTGATTGAAAGGATTAATCTTACTTTGTATACGTCGGGAATTAATCCCCAATACAGAACAAATTTTTGAAAAATTAGCGCGATTTTCAAAAATTAAATTTTAAGTTATGAGCGATCATCCTGAAATGCAATTTAAATAAATTTTGTTCCATTGATAAATGGTTGGATTATTTAAAAAAGAATCTTTCATGGTATTAGAAAGCTTGTTTTAATTAATTTAATTTTAGTCATGACCCTTCGACAGTACATGATGAGATAGTAGGAATAGTTAATAATATTTATATTTGGCTCAGCCTTTTAACAACACTAATTACAAATAAGTAAATTTCAGTTCAAAAGTCATCTTGATTTAATTCCTAAGCTGGCTTGAGCCAACTCATATGTCTCAATGAGCTGGCTTGAGCCTTAGTCAATTATATGGCTCAAAAACTGGCTGAGGACTCAGCCATCTAACAACTACCTATATATCAAATTCTAATCACTTGAATTGTTAAAAATATTATAAACATACATTTTTTAAAACTTTGCTATCAAACCTTGATCTAATTTACCCATAAATTATTTTTAAAACTATGAAATTTTTGCCTATTTATTATAATATATACATTAGTGATTTGCATCAGACTTGGTCAAAAAAATTTTCAAAATTGTCCTGTTCAACCTCATCCAGAATTTTTTAATTTGTCATGAAAAGCCCAACATGAAATAAAAATATGTCTGCCCAACCCAAATTTATTTTAGCATACATTGCAAGTATGTTGTTAAGCAGCTCAATTTAAGCTGATTTTTAAATACGGCTAACTCAATATTTAAGCCAAAAAATCTAAACCTTGAGATTTCGCAAATAGATGTCCAAATCTTTGTACCATCTGTGATCAAAATCTTCAGGTTTGTGTAATATTTTTCTGGATAAAATATTAAGTTAGCCATTTTTATTTGTCATGAAAAGCCCAACAAAATAAAAATATGTCTGCCCAACCAAATTTATTTTAGCACACATTGCAAGCATGTTGTTAAGCAGCTCGATTTAAGCTGATTTTTAAATACGGCTAACCCAATATTTAAGCCAAAAAAATCTAAACCTAGAGATTTCGCAAATAGATGTCCAAACCTTTGTACCATCTGTGATCAAAATCTTCAGGTTTGTGTAATATTTTTCTGGATAAAATATTAAGTTAGCCATTTTTAAAATTAGCTCATAAATTATTTAATAACACTAATTGCAAGAATTTCAAATTATATCAATTTTACAAAATGTAATATCACAATTTTGCCCAACCAAAATTATTTTTGAATAGACCTGGGGTGGGCTCAGGCTAGGATATGTAGATCTTTAACATACATTTTAAAAATTGCTTCATGATGTGTATTGAAGGAAATAGTTAAAATAAAAAATTTTGCCATTTAGTGAATTATGATTAAAAACCCATAAAAATGAAGGATCAAAATCAATGTGAAATATTGGCATTAAGAATAAAATCTCATCTTTTTAAAAAATAGATTAAAATTTTAGATTACCATAAGTTATTTAAAAAATTCAACTTTAAAATCTGAATCGAGTAATATATTGGCATTTCATAAACAAATATCCTATTCCGTCATTATTATAAATATACATTGCTTTATATTAAAGATTTTTTAAAAAATTCAATTCAAATATTTATCTTCTTAATACACTTCAAGTTGTGCTGTATTGTATAAAGATTTTAAGAACCTCAAAAGGTGTAGAATAGCCTAAACCTAAGAAATTTTCTTATTTATATTTTTAGTGCAAATAAATATTTTATTTATCAAATTATATTTTGGTATAATCAATTCTTTATTTAAATTTGATTGGAATTTGTAAATCCCAAAATAATTTATAATTTCAAGCTACATAAATTTTAGACATAAGGTTAATATAACTTGTTACTTATATAAGTGAAAATAGTCATTACCAGAGTAATTTTATCAACATTAATTATATTCCAACTTATTTCAGCAAATAGAAAATTAATACAAATATTAAAATATTATTTTAAATAGGATAGAAATAATACAATATAATAGTAATGATTGGCACTACCATATATTTGTTTAATTAGAATTTATTTGCCTATCCATTACAATACAAATGTATTAAATAATTTTAATTTACAAAAATATTTATAATGGAGCTTCTTCTGTGGACTTTTCTATGCGTGTGTATATAATTTGTGCATGATGCTTAACAACAGGTTTAATAAGCCCTATAACAAGTTTTAATTAATTAATTAATTTTTGATTTACCTTTATTTGCTAATTCTAGTAAGGCTTGTCTTGCTAAAGATCCTCTAACTTTTAATCTCTCAGATACTAATGATGGTGTTATTAATTTATTTGATGGAATCTCTTTTAAAAATTTGTCATAAGTAGGTTTGTCAAAAAGAACTAAATTATTTAATTTGTCTCTAACCTTTCCTTTAGACCATTTCTTTATAAAAAAATGTACATTTGATAAAATTATTATTTTACTTTTTTCTTAGCTTTTCCTCCTGAAGCAGCCTTTTTTTTTGCTGGAAGTGGTTTAGATTTTGTATCTTTTGATTTCTTATCGACTTTCGGTGGCTAAATAATATAATTAATCAGAATAAAATAAATAAAATTTACCATATTTAGTAAGGAAACAAAAGATGAGTGCCGTGGTGAAATTAATTTTTATCATATAATTTAAATTTATTTTAATAAATATATATAATAATCATAAAATGAAAAAAATAATATATATTTAATTATAATGCTATATTTTTGAGAATTTATAACATTAAAAAACAATATGTCTAACCCATTGTAAATGTATTTTAACTTATTTTCGTTTATAATGAAATACAATCTTAAATAACAAATATTCCCTAGTGACTTTTATTATTCCTAAAAAAATATAGCATAAATTTTTAATTATGCAGAACTTAAAGTTCAGAGATTGCAAACTGATTTAAACCTACGTCCAAACTCTAAAACTGTGTTTTTACTCATAAGTGTTTGATTTTTTATTAGTAAAATTTATCGATAATAAAATAGCGCTGCTAAGCTGGGTGCCATTAGCTAGGTGGAGGGTCGTAGCCAAAAAAATTTATTCTCACTCTCAAATCTGACCACTCGAAAAGATTTTTAGCCCCAATAAATTTTTCAGGTCCACAAATTTAAAAAAAACTATTAGTTATTAAATAATTCACGATTAACAAAAATTTAGATGAAAATACAGCAAATTTTTTATAAAAATAGTATTTATTTAATTTATAGAAATAATAAACAAGAACATACCTATAAAAATATTAGCTATAAAATATCCATTCACTTATTAGTCGGCCAAGTTGAAAATTGGGAAAATACGCTCGCTGAAAAAAAGAGAGACAGCGAAAACATAAAAGCTCAATAACCCATTTAAATTCAATAGAAAATGACATGATAAAAATCTCAATATTAATGATACTGTGATAACAAACATGTAAGCCAACAAATTAACCTCAATCGTTATTATCCTTGTTTTTAAAATGTAATTTAATACCCGATTAATCAAACCAATAAATTAGACTTTATTAAAATAATACAAAACTACAAATTTACTAAATTATATATTAATATTTATTTCAATTTTCGTTGCTTTTATATCATTCAATATTTACAAAATTAAAACATTTTTTAAACACAAAAATAATAATCCATCTTCAAACTGTTTTCTTCTTTTTTTTCTTCTTTTTATATTTTTTCTTTTAAAATGATTTTTCAAATTTCGTCGATACTTCCAACACCCCTTCCCTTGATATTTTTACCTAGTGAACTTGACGCGATTTGCCTCCATTCAATAATCTAGGTTTAACATCCTGTAACGTCGGCTCATTGTTAATCGTCATTACTTGATTAGAACAATATCTCATTAGATGATCTCCCCCACAGGCCCAACATTCCTGGGTATAGGATGATCATATGGATGCATTCTGGTTCTTCGATCGAATCACCCTGGTGTATCCATTCTTATACCATTCACCATTTCCTCACATAGTCTTGTAGCTTCTTCCCTGGTCACTCTTCTTGAGATCATGTAACCATCTATTGTCCTTATCTCTATAAGCACCCGTGACAAAGTGTCCATCTTGAAAATTTTCTTACAAAATTTTTAAATAAACTTAATATAATCTCTGTACTATGCTAAATAAACTAAACTGACTTCGTTAAAAAAATTAATATATTAAGTTAAAAAGATTAATATTTTGTGCACTGCTTTCGTAATCCGTCATTACTTTCATCTACAACCCTAAATGATATGAAATTGTACTTTAATTATTTCCTTTCCAGACAACCTTCCAGATTTATTTTGTCGCTTTTTCCATCAAAAATAAAAATGGCAACAAGGATTTGCTCTTAATTTTATCAAATACACAACATAATAATTATTCCTCATTATTTTTTAAAAAAATTAGCTTAAATTTATATGTCAATAAAAAATATTTTATAATTTGTATATAAGTTTCATTAGTGTTTAATGTCATTTTTGTTATTTAAATAGATAGCATTTTTTTTTACTTAACATAAAATATAGACAAATAATTTGGGAAATGCAAGACATACATTAAATTTATTCGAAAAGCTACAATAACCCCCTATAATAAACAACAATTTATTTTTTATATATAATTATAATTGATCATATTACCAAAAATTATAAGAGTCGGTTATTTTTATTTTATTTGTCATGATTCTCTAATAAGTGGTTTTCCCAGGCCTTCCCAGTTTCTCTTAATATGAAATTCACATGTTTTTTTTTACATCTTAAACTAATTGGTAAATCAGATAATTCCCCTTTATGTGATGATAAATCAATTAAAAATTTAACTATCTCCGAGGTGGGAAAAAATTTTCAAAATTATATTGGATACGACTGGGCTTGGAACCTCAAAATTTATATTAGCTTGCACCTTACATGGGAATATCTTTAACAAATTATTAAGGGTTGAGCTGGGCTGGATAAACTTTTTAATAATTATATGCTCCCTAATATTGTGAGCTTGGATCTGGCATGACATCTATCGTAAAAAAATGAATAAAAATCTCATTCCCCGTCATTTTTGACGGGCTTTCTACTAGTATGATAATAATATGTCAATATTTTTAAAAATGAGACGCACTCTTCTATATTTTTTTAGAAATCGTTAAATAAAATAGCATGCACTTTAAAAAAAAAATGTTAAAAAAAAATAAATTTAAAAGTTCTAAAGAAATTATTTGAACGAAGATAATTTTTTAATCGATGACATCAAAGCATCTTTCTAGTTAATTGAACTTGCACTCCATTTATTTTTTATCAATATATTTTTCCAACAATAAACATATAATAGAACTATTTCAAATCCTTTAATACATTTTATACCAGAATAGTTGAAAATTTTATTATTCTTAGGAGTAGAAAATATAATAATCAGATAATAATAGTATGGTCATGTTTTTACAACAAAATACACATAAGTTATAGAATTTCAAAATAAAAAATATTTAATACCCTCCAAAAATGGTTCACTTTTTTCCTCGTGGTATAAATAATAGCAGGCCACTTCAAAAAAATTTAGCAGATTTTAAAGCTGACATCGAGCTGATTCTGAAGCAGGCACATCTAGCCAATTTGTGCGGCCTATTGAACCGCTCATTTATAAATGAGTTGTGTGATTCCAATTTGTTTTTTAAGTCAAAAACTTGACTTTTTAAAAATAGTAATTTCTATTAATAATTAAAAACAATGGCGTGCAATAATCTTAGTTTGCACGTTGCATCAATAAATACAAGATAGGCTCAACAAGGTTTCTCATTCTAGATAGTTGAAAATAATTGCCTTACTTATTTTGAAATTTATTATCTAAATTAAACTTCATAAAAATTTTATATGAGCCAGATGCTGTACGCCCTATTAATAATGATTGCTTGTAGACATTTTGTTTCCTTTCTTTCTTTTCTTCCCCTTTCTTTCATATCAACAAATTAACACTTAAACTGAAATTTATAAGTGTCGAAATATTATGTAGCAATATATGTATTAATATTATTACTATTTGAGTTCGGCTCGTTTAAAACTTGATATTTAAACCTGAAAAATATTGCCCAAACTTCGAAATATCGCCAATAGATAACCAAACTACAATTGAGCAAAATCTTTAGACTTGCGTAATATTTTTCAAGACAAAATATTGAGCTAGTCCACTCAAATCTAACGTTTAACAACACAAATAATTACCATTTTTAAAATAATTAAATAAAAAGAGAAAATATAATATATGACATTCTACCTAGTCAAAAATTAGCATCTGTTAATGTCACATGACATTTTATAATCATTTGTCAGATTTTTAATCACATGATTATGGACAGAACTTTTAAGATTTAATTTTGTAAAACTTCAGTAAAATTTGAATAAATCAAAAAAAACATTGGGACTATTGCCCTCCCCCCTTCCAGTCCCCTCCTACAAAGTACTCAACATCTTGAACTACCAGGAACAACATAAATTATCAAAATGTAGAGAAATTTTGATCAACCATTATTTATAGCATTTCGACCACACTTACCACCATCGGAAAACTTGCCCTAGCATTATTCAAAAATGTAGTCTATCGATTCTGTAAACTCAAAGAATAATCTCGCGAAAAGATTTTCTTCTTATAAAGGTTGGCTATATCCATCCCAAAAGCCAACTACATTGGCTTCAATGGAAGTGTACTTTCCTAAGTACTATCCTAACTTTATACTTCGTATTTTCTTTTCTCTTTGTATCATATTTGCTCTGTATATAATTTTTATATTTGTTTTAATATTTCACATATTTTATACATTCTATTTCATAGCATTATTTTATATGTGATTTTTTTTTTAAATACCAATTTGGAATTATATTATATTTATTATAAAGTGTTATAATTTTTTTTAAGTTTCTAATTTTGCAATCCGTCAATAATAATTCGAAAGCTAGCACATATATTTTTTATCTAATGGATGTTTTAAAAACAAAATCTTTAGATGATTTTAAAACAAGAGTTAAAGAGCATAGAGAATTAGAAGGGAAATTAAAAAATGGTGCTTTTAATGAGAAAATATATTATATTTATAAAATTATAGTTCGTGATCAAATGAGGCAATTAACTAAGCAATATGATAAATCAGAAAATGATTTAAAAGCACTTCAAAGTGTTGGACAGGTAAATTCAAAAAATAGTATTAATGTAATTTTATATAACTAGATTGTAGGTGAAGTGTTAAAACAACTCAATGAAGATAAATGTAAGATTATTAAGATGAAATATCATATTTTTTCCTTGAAGTATTGAATTTACCAAAAAAAAGTCATAAAATTTATATAGCAAACAAAACATTTATTCCAAAGTAAAAAAAATTTTTTTTAGTTTCTCCAAAGTGAAATTTTTATTGGTGTAAGCATTTATTTGAAAAAGTTTATAAATTTTTTTTTTTATATGTCTAGATAATTAAGTTCATTATATATCAAATCAAACATTTATGGGATCTCTTGATTTTGATCAAAATTTGTAGCTACATTATATATGTTATAGTTATATAAAAAAATTATAGCATATTAGCAACTATATTACCTAAGATAATGTGGATTAAAATTACAAATTCTTTTAAACCACTGATGCAAAATAATTAACTAAATTGAATTAGTTCAAATATTAATAACAATCAATAATTGATTATGGAGGGAAACATCAAAATTTGTCGTATTATTTTAAAATTTTAGATTAGCATAGTTGTTTAAGTATCTAGATACTAAAATGTGGTATCTTTATATACTTATATCAATGTACTATTTATCTATTTTTGTATACATTTTGATATAATTTTATTTTACATATTATATTAAAATAAAATAAATTTCATTAAATAATATCTCTTCATTACAAAAAGAAACCATACTTTAAGTTTGTATGCCATAGGAGGCAGTCCATAAAAAAACAAATAATGCATTTGGAAATATCAAAGCCATTACATAGCAAAATAGCTATACGAAGGTCTTCATTAAAGTTAAGACCAAGATTTTTTATTAGAATAGCCTACAGCTATTCATAGGCCAATCTAGAATTCAGAATAGCTCAGCTAGGATATTGTTCTAATGAATTCACTTGTTAAGAGATAATCAACTGCAAATATTTCAAGCTTTATTAAGAGGGAATGTGGGTGTGCTAATGAGGTTGACAATTGCTTGCCATCAAGATCATAACCAATAGGTATTAAACTTGAACTGCTTAATCTTGAGGAGATAGAAGCAGCAAGAGAGAAGAGGAATGGGGAATGGAAAGTAATCTCACTATTATTGCATGGGAGTGAAGTCTGGAACCACAAATTATATGAAAATTTTATATTGACAATAGCTTCAAGCATTGTGGGGATATGCAACTCATGCTTGAATGAGAGATCTTCATAATGAAAAATTATTTTAAAAAAAATTTTCCCAGTATCCATGATATTAGTTGTAAATCAATTATATTGCAATGTTCATATATAGTGACAATACGTTTTTTATACATTTGTGCAATATTTTGTAAAACAATTATAGTTTTTAATTTAAAACAAATTATTTAAGATGAGTATAAAAGAAAAAACGTGATTTTTCTACCTTGCTAATTAGCTAAAATTTTGTTCTGATATTATTAGAATGAGAATGACCCATTATGGTTTTTATTTCTTGAAAGTAAGGTTATTTTGAAAATATACAAAATTCAATGCTACATAATGATAAAATATGATTTTTTTTACAATCTTCTTTATTATTTTATTTAAAAATAATTTTATTGCAATGTTTTAAATTTTGTGTTATTATATTTTTATTTTAGTTATTATTAGCCCTATATTGCATTCACTATGTTAGAATAATTTTTTTTGCCAAACTAGATTTTTCCCTTATCTCGATACTATTGATAATCTCATGGCTCACTTTTGAAAAAAATTCTAAATTTTTAGAAGATGAACCGTATAAATATTAAAATATACATTATGCAATTAAGAAATCAAATTTCAATTTTTTATTGCACTATAAACTATATATATAATAATTTTATTTAAATACAAAAACATTTTAAGAAAATCTATAAAATAATTATTTTTGGGTGTAAAACATAAATATACACCACATTTCTTGCAAACACCACATTTCTAGATACTTTTTTTGTAAATAAGCATCCTGGCATTTTACATTTACCCTTCTTATTATATTTGGGCCAATGAGCTGTTAAGTCTTTCCTAACCTTTTCATTTGGTAAATATTGGTTCAGTCCTTTTTCAAATTTTTCCCTATAACCAGTTTGAACCTATTTTCGTTTTGGTATACAGTTTGAAGTGCCTTTGCCATATTTGCAAAGGACTTCTGCCACCGAAATTTTGAAATTGTATAAACTAAATTGATCCTTGCATGCTATAAAGTTAGGCCCGGCCCGTACCCAGCCCAAGTCTGGACCAGCCTGAATGGGCTTCAGGCTGGGCTCGGGCCTAATTCTATTTAAAATAATTGGGTTCGGGCCGGGCCTAATATTTTTAAAAAAATTTCGGGCCTGGTTGGGTCGGACCTTGGAAATTTTATTAAACATATCTAAATTTATCAATTTTATATTGAATTTTTTATGTAAAATAAAAATTTTTGATTTAATTTATTGAAACTAAACGCTATATAACATATGTCTTTTATTTTAAGTAATTATAAAAATTAATTTCTATATTTAAATAAATTCAGGCCCGGCTGGGCCTTTAAATTTTTTTAAAATAAATTTCAGGTTCGGGCCGGGCCAGCAAAAATTTCGGGCCGGGCCGGTCTTGAAAAATTAGGCCTGATGCAGATCATTAATTGATATACTTTTAAAATCATGTCTATATAGCATCTGCCATGAATTTATAAGTAACATATCAAATATATGAAATAAAATTCTATGGTACCATTTGAATTTTATATAAGGAAAGTAAAGAATCCTGAGATCTACACCTCCCATTGATTTATTATAAATTTTAACAATATTTGGACATTTTATCATGATTATATCCTTTTTTCTATCATATCTTGCAGTCTATTAATGATGTGCACCTACAAAAGTGCTTAATAAAGTCACAGCACGATTATCACACTTAATTTTAGCTCCACTCCTTTTATTATGGTTTTTTTAAATAAAAAAATCTTCGCCCTTTTTTTCAACTCGTTGGGAAGTTGATTACCTTTGACCATGGCAAGCAAAATATCCCCCTTCCCCCTTTGAGGTTATCAAAAAATAATTAATTTGCTGTAGTATATAAGAAATTAAACGAGTACATCATTGCCATTTGCTCCATCATCAGGCAATCTTTCCTATGGTAGTATTTTTCCAGAATATACTTCAAAATTGTGCAGAAGACCATCATCTCTTCATAGTGAAAAGAGTTTATAGCCTCATTTTTTGAACTTTTGAGGGTTTTATTGCATCAACCTGCTCATCCCTTTGAAGGAATAATTTGCTCATCTACCCAAATATTCTCACCTATATATAAAGATCTAAGTACATTATTGGTTAGGGTTTCAGTTTGCCATTATCATTAATATGAATAAATGATTTGATTTGTTTTCAGCGATTGAGAGTCATAGCATGCCACCTTGGCTTGTCTTGTATTAGTGGCCCGGTAAAGACATGCTCTTGGAAGTTTGATAATTGACATATAAAAAATTATTCTTATAGATTTCTCTAATTCATCTCTGGACAAATTCAAAGGTTTATTGGGGTTACATTGAGTGGCATATAAATTTGACTTATAAATAATAAGAGGTAATATTTCATTGAGATCTATATTATAATAATCCATTGGTTTTTTAGCTTTATAAATCTTTGGAATAATTAACTGTAAATTAGTTAAATCTAAAAGCCGGTTCAGTCGACATAGAACTATTAACTTTATAATCTCGAATAAATTAGGATTGGCCCATTACCCTAATCTTCTGGAACCCGTCCACTTATCCCTTTCTGATGGGAAAAGACCAAATAGACTCACATGCATTCCTTGGTTTAGAGGAAAACACCATATTTGGGATTTAACTTGTGTCTCCCAATTTTCCTCTAACCCAAACAGATCCGATTATTTTAGCTGAAAGGTCAAAAATTAGATAGTATCACGACTTTTCTGGTTTTCACTTTATCCTAATAGTTATTTATAACTTAAGATTTTAGTTAAAAAATTAAAATGTCACAATCAGCTCAAATCGCTGTATTTCGAGGCAACTATATTAGTTTACTCGGATCTTAACAAGAACCCTTTTTTTACACCCCCCCCCCTCCCCCCATGTTTCTTTTTTTAAAAAAACTTATTTTTGTCTTTTTTAATATTGTTTACTTATTTTTTTTTAAATATAGATTTATAAATATAAATAAGGAGTATTAGGTATCAAAAAATATTATAGAATCATAATATAACAATAAAAAATTCTATTGATGTATATCAGAGGTCTGCGAGGCCCCGCAGAATTTTTGCATAACTTGCCTAACCCGCAAAATTTTTTGTCTAGTTTTCCCTAAAATTAAAATTTGAGGCGCCCGGAATTTTTTTTAAAAAAGTATTTCCATTTTGCAAATGATATTGAATATATGAGCAGTATATTTTCATTTACGCTGTTCCATTATATGATTTTCCAACTGATATTTTAATTTAAATTTATTTTTTAAGCACAACACAAATTTTTAAAATCTTACCATTTTTTGACCTGTAAGTTTGGAAATTTATTTATGGTATAGGTCGGATAGAGAAATATTTTTTTCACAATTATGATCACTGATATCATTAAATCATCAATTACATAAATATACATTACTTATCACTAGTGCTTCGATTCTAATAATTAAATATTACTACGATGTGGCCGAATATAATGAGAAAAATGTTCTATAACTAATATAAGACAATTCTTTATTTAAAAAAGACTAGTTTGCAAAATATGACTGAAACCTTTATGGTTATTTTAGGGTGTCAAACCGAACAGCAGACCCTAAACAAACTATTATAATTTTTATAATCATTTATAAGAAAATCTCAAAAAGGGTGAATCAAACAAAAAAGCTTAGTTATTATAATAGAAAATATTTCCTACAAATTTATTTTAATAGAATTGGCTGGATAGAGAATTCTTTATTTAAAAAAGACTAGTTTGCAAAAGATGACTGAAACCTTTATGGTTATTTTAGGGTGTCAAACCGTACAGCAGATCCTAAACAAACTATTATAATTTTTTAACCCATAATTATTTATAAGAAAATCTTAACCCAAAATCATTTATAAGAAAATCTCAAAAAGGGTGAATCAAACAAAAAAGCTTAGTTATTATAATAGAAATTATTTCCTACAAATTTATTTTAAGAATTGGCTGGATAGAGAACATCCGCACATTGATTGTTGAATTAGCTTGATTTGAACCTATTTATTAAAACGGTTAACTCAATATTTTATTCAGAAAAATATTACGCAAGCCTTAAGATTCGGATTATAGATGAATGGAACAAAGGTTTGGGCATCTTTTAGCGAAATCTCAAAACTTAGGTAATATTATTCTGGCTAAAATATTGAGTTCGCCATTTTTAAAAATCGGCTCAAATCGAGCCCTCATCTCTATAAAATAAATTGATAAAATTACATATGTTTTTTATAATTATTTAACCTAAGTTATTGTTAAGGCAACAAATGGACCTAGATATGTAGTTGGATGCAGAAGGCATTTAGAAAAATGTAAGCTTAAAGCTGGCACAAGAGTTTCTTTAGATATGACTACTCTAACCATCATGAGGTAATTAAATAGAACATATATACTAACCTATAAAAAGAAAACTTCCCCGAGAAGTGGATCCAATTGTTTATCACATGTCAACTGAGGATCCTGGAAATATAAGTTATGGTTCAATTGGAGGGTTATCTGAACAAATCAGACAACTTAGAGAGGTATATAATAAGTTTATAATAATAATCTACCCTAAATATATTTTAGGTCATTGAATTACCTTTACGAAATCCAGAATTATTTCAGAGAGTTGGTATTACTCCACCCAAGGGATGTTTATTATATGGTCCTCCTGGAACTGGTAAAACTCTTTTAGCAAGAGCTGTTGCAAGTCAATTGGATTTTAATTTTTTGAAAGTAGAATTAATTTTATTTTTTTTAAAGATCTTTTAATATATAAAAGGTAGTTTCAAGTGCCATTGTTGATAAATATATAGGAGAGAGCGCACGTCTTATACGAGAAATGTTTAATTATGCAAGGGATCATGAACCTTGCATAATATTCATGGATGAAATTGATGCTATTGGTAATTTAAAATATAATTACATTGCATTTATTATAACAGGTGGTCGGCGATTTTCGGAGGGCACCTCAGCAGATAGAGAAATTCAAAGGACATTAATGGAATTATTAAATCAAATGGATGGATTTGATGCATTAGGCAAGGTTAAAATAATTATGGCAACCAACCGACCTGACACTCTAGACCCTGCTTTATTAAGACCTGGTAGATTAGATAGAAAAATAGGTCAATAAATTCTACAATATTTATGGAATAAAATAATTTATACCTAAATCCTGTATATTTTTTACATTTTATACTTAAATCTCACTTATAGAAATTCCATTGCCAAATGAAATGGCCCGTTTAGATATTTTGAAAATACATGCTTCTACAATAACAAAACAAGGAGACATAGGTATTTATGTATTTGTAATGTTTAAAATAAAATTATATAGATTTTGAACCTGTTGTAAAACTAGCAGAAAGTTTTAATGGGGCCGATTTGAGAAATGTTTGCACTGAAGCAGGTATGTGTGCTATTAGAGATGAAAGGGACTACGTTATTGAAGAAGATTTTATGAAAGCTGTTAGAAAAATTGCAGATAATAAAAAATTGGAAACGAAATTAGATTACAAACCATTGTAGTTTATTTTTATAATTTATACAAAATGTGATTTTATTAATAAAATTTAAGCAATTTTTAAAATTTAATTTTATCAATAAAATGCAGAATGTAATTTTATTAAGAAAATTTAAACAATCTTTTCCAGTTCTTTGGCATACATCAAGGAATTAATTGTTAATTCATAAGGCTTTAATCCACTTTTGGCACCAGATATATCGTTATTCACAAAATTAATTTTAGAGCCGCGAACTATCCAATGCTTCTATGAAATACATGTTTTATCTATAAAATTGTAATATTTACCTTGTCAATAAAATCTGATAATTCTTTTTTATTTGAAAAAAATAAAAGTTTCCCAACTTCATCGATTGATATAGATTTATAAGCTTTTTCTAAACAGTCAGCTATATCGTTCCTTAAATATAATATTTATAAAGTTTTTAACTTATTGATTGTGATTAAAAATTATTTTGAATAGCTTGAAATCAGGGTTTGAAAAAAAATCTGCCCAAAATATTTTTGGAATATCATAATTTTAAGATTTCTTTATATTAAAAAATCTTTTAGGATTAAATCTCTTAAGATTTTTTTAAGATTATTTATTTTTCTATAAAATAATTTGATGTATATATTTTTTTGAATTTTTATTTTTAAAACTAGTTTAACAAATTTTTATTGAATAAATATCATGAAAACATTTTATGCTGGTTTTAAAGATTGAAGTATTTTCTTCCAATGCTTATTGAGTTATGGAAAATGGACAATTTAACATAAAAAAGACATTTATTCAATATCTAGTTTATTTTGCTCTTGATGATATAAAATATATTTCATTAAATTGTTTTTTCGGAAATTTATATTTTTATTAGTTGAATTAAAATTAGAAGAGGAAGTTGGCCTACTCTATTAAATCCTAATCATTATTTCAGTTATTAAATGTTTTAATTTTAAATATACTTCAGCCAATTAAAAAATTTCCTTCCGATAAACATTCCTTAAGTTGAGCTATTATTATATTATCGAAAATGAATCTACATACAAAATCAAAACGTAATTATGATTTATGAATCCCGAGGAAAATAATATTTTTTTAAAATATTCACATTTTACTATTGTCGGCTAACTCAATGTTTTATTCATAAAAAATATTATGCAAGATTTTGATCATAAGTGGCACAAAGGTTTGGACATCTATTAGCGAAATCTCGAGGCTTAGACAATATTTATTAGCTCAAATATTGAGTTAGCCTTTTTTAAAATCGGCTCAAATCGAGCCGTTTAAGAGAAACTTCCAAATTTCCCGGGGAAATTTAATATTAAAACTTTAAATTTTACAGGAATATATATAACCTTTCTTTACCTTTACATTATGATGTATAACTTCATTTCCTTCCTGAATAAAAAAATTATTAAGAAAGGTACATCTAAAATTATGTTTTTTTAACAGAAACTGAGATATTTAGGATTAAAAGGTATTCAAATATAGTTTTTAACAATTCTACCCTTATTTTAAATATTATTTTCTAGTTTTTCCAACCTTAAATTAATTGCAAATATGATATGATTATCTTATATATATAATCTCCATAATCATAACACGATCGTTTTCGTATCTCCCTAATGTATTTTAAATTTAAGGAGACTATATAGTGTAATGTTAATTTTTTGCTCTCTACGAAACCCGTTTCAAAGGCATATGCTTTACCGCATGCACCGACTATAAATAAATTTAAAATATTAATTATATAGATGTTGAAGGGTAATTATTTAGTTTGTGTGTATGGTATTAAATATCTTTATTAATAAATTTAAAATATTAAAATTTAAGGGTAAAAGAGGTAAAATTGTTGCAATGTTAGAAATATCAAATTTAAAAATGTGATGGAAATCATATTGAATAAAATTTAAAATAGAGGTGCTTTAAGATTTTTGAATTTTAAATATGGGTTATAGATTGGTCTGAAATTTTTTTTTGCAGACATAGCCAGGCCTGATCAAAAACTATGGGTTGAAGGGTAATTATTTAGTTGTGTATGGTATTAAATATACTCAATTAATAAATTTTATATAAATATTAAAATTTAAGAGTAAAAGAGGTAAAATTGTTGCAATGTTAGAAATATCAAAATTGATGGAAATCATATTGAATAAAATTTAAAATAGAGGTGCTTTAAGATTTTTGAATTTTAAATATGGGTTATAGATTGGGCTGAAATTTTTTTTGCAGACATAGCCACCTGATCAAAAAACCATGGGTTGAAGGGTAATTATTTAGTTTGTGTGTATGGTATTAAATATACTCTATTAATAAATTTTATATAAATATTAAAATTTAAGAGTAAAAGAGGTAAAATTGTTGCAATGTATACTTTGAGCATGTATTAGAAATATCAAAATTTAAAAATGTAAGATTTTTGAATTTTAAATATGGGTTATAGATTGGTCTGAAATTTTTTTTGCAGACATAGCTAGGCCTGATCAAAAAACCATGTCCCATGCAACTTTCATAAATTAATTAATAGTATTTTTAAAATTTTGCCTGTGTATTGAATGCACTGATCAACACACCTAATATTATACATATTTCTGAATATTTAGGGGTAAATAGAACTTTAAATGCATCAAGTACCAATTCAATAGGAATAAGGTAGAATTTTAAATGGCAAGTACCCATTCAATAGTAATAAGAGATTTATTTAAATTTTAATTCTTGAATTTATGTATAATTTAAGATTTTATACCATTATATTGGGGTTTCAGAAAAGATAAGAGAGATATGGAAGGGACAAAGCACACTTTAATAACACAAACTCTTATCTAGCAAGAATAGATTTTTAGATTATAAATTACAAATACAAATAAATAAAATTACTAAATATATTATTAACATATTTTATAAAAATAATGGAAAATTTTAGAATAACCCCAAAATAAATATAAATTTTTAAATAAAACCTCACAAGATAGGAAAATTTTGTATATTTACTCATAACTTCATAATTGTAGAATGTATGTTATTTATAACTTATTATAAAATTTATGATTAAATGTATAACCTTTTTGTTTTACTTATATATAATTTGACTATGATTGAAGTTTACCTCCTATTATTTGTTAACTTAGACATATCTTTTTATTTTTTCTATTGTAATTTAATAACAATTTCTTAAATTTAATTTTATATTTTGTAACTAAGTAATAAATCATTTGGTTTGTTTAAAATTTAAATTAGGATGGACATATTTTCAGAATGGTACTTTAATATGTATTCATGAATTTCATATAAATACCAGAAGCTCACCAGTAGAATCATAGGTAAATCAGATATTTACCCTTCATTTGATGATAATTTTGAAATTAGACATTCTTATAAACCCCTTACATCAGATCTATTTTTCTGGATCAAAATAAATTATTTGGGTTTTCCTGGGCTTGGGAAATTATTTTCACCATTAATATGGACTTAAACATAGCTTGAGAAACATTTTTCATAATTATTATAGTCTAAGATTCCTGTAATTTTTTTAATTGTAAATATGGGCTAGAAATTGGCCTGAAAATTTCTTTTGAAGAAAACCAAGGCCCATGCAACTTTCATATTCTGATTGTATTTTTAAATGCAATGTGACTTTTTATATATTTTATTTCAGTCCTCAACTATCAAAATTATTATAGTCTTTTGCAGGTTTGAGAAAACCAAGTGCGAGGACCTGGCTTGGGAATTTTTTTAATACTAGGCATAGGTGTAATATTTATATGGCCCTCAGGTAAAATCTAATTTAAATATATTTGTATTCAAAAAAATAGTATTCACTCTTAGTTTTAATGGGTTGGCCTTGGTTGGGGTGAGCTGGGTTAAAATAGACTAAAAAATAGATATGGTTTTTAGAGATTTACCTATCTCCAGGCTTGGAAAAAAATTTTAATTACGGTTGGCCAGGTTTGAGAAATTTTTTTTATAAAATTATTATGAGTTGGGCTGGGCTTGGAAAATATTTTTATAAATTATATTGGGCTGGGCTTGGGGAAAATTTTTCAAAATTATTAAAGCTTGGACGCTTGAGAATTTTTTTATTATTAATTATAGGTCAGACATTGACCCAAAACAAATTTTTTTGTAGGCCTGGGCTTGACCTGATCAAAAAACCAAGACCCATGAAAATCTGAATTTTGATTTTATTTTTAAATTCATTATGATTATTTAAATATTTTATTTCAGTTCTTAACTACCAAAATTATTATGATCCTTCATTGGGCTTGGAAGAATTTTTCATAATTAATATGGCTTTGGACTTTGCCTGGGACTTTTTTTTAATATTAAATATTAGGTTATATAATCAGTAATATTTAACAAATAATATTGGTATTATCAAGTAAATGCTTTAAATTTATTTTTACTCAAACCATAGCATTTAGTTTCAATGGATTAAACCTGGCCTGAAGGGTAAGAAGAATAAAAATTGGATATTATTTTCAAATAACAGGTAACATGCATAAAAGTAAGAAGAAAATTTTCATTCCCCGTCATTTTTGACGGGCTATCTACTATTTATAATTAATTTAAAAAAATGATCAGCATATTAAATTGCACAATCGTAATATATAATATAGAGGTCTGCAAGGGATGTCCGAAGACCCGGACATTGAAACTTTTTTCCAAGCCGACCCAATATATAAATATTAAAATACAACCTTAATGATACAAATCTTTTATTTCATAAAAATGTCAATCAGAATAACTAATATTGAATTCTTTTTAATATGTTGATTATTATAATTTTTTCTCTAAACAATTATATAATCTTTTTTCGACATCAATCATGCAAATTATTTTTACATAATCATAATAATTTTAAATTCGATTGTATTTTAACTTTACTTTTTATAATTAAACTGGATAAATTTATATGTATACAAATTAAATATGCAAACTAATATTGATTAAATTATGGGAGTTTAATATACTTTTATTTAAAGTGGCAAAATGTGAATGGCACATAATTTTTAAATGTTTCTTAAATATTATAGTATTTAAACTCAAATTATAAAGGGCTCGAGTCAGGACAAAGAAAATTTTAAAATTCAGGCTCGGGCTAGGAAAAAATGTATGCAGACTAACATTATAGGTTTTTCTTCATCGTTTAATGGTAGTTTTCCAGGTTTAATCGGGTAAGCTAGCTTTCCTTCTTTTTTCACTTATACAGTTTTGGGCTTTGCTACTATATGATCCATTATTCTTAGGTCATCTGTTAATGTTCACTTTCATTCATATAGTCGTCTTTGGACTTTTTCGAGGCTCTGATTCCATTCCTTCAAGGTGCATTTCTTCACCTGATCATTGTTTAACCTTCACGTCTTTTCCAACCCTTTATTTTGAGTCCTTGCTTGTTTCTTTTTTCTCAGAAATACCCTATACACTCAACTCCATTTTCCCCCAATTTTGCTCCGTTTCATCGCCCAAGTTACCCATAGCCAAGATCTTCAACTTTATAGCAAACATCTTCATCCCACTCATTTACTTCATTTAGCTTTTTTCATCTATATCTTCCGGATCTTAATCCCCTTGATATCTGTAGGGTTTCCATCGATATTTCTCACGCCTATTACATTATGACTCTTATCATTTGATTTGCAATTGGAATCATATTTATATTTCCTTCCTCAGTTTTATACTCATTAGAAAATTGAAGCCTTTTCGTTTCCTTATCTTCATTTTTGCTATTTTATATGCTTTTCCTTCATTTTGTCTTCTGCCATTTTTTACTTTTAACATATTTTCTTCTCCATTGCTTTTGCAATATTTGAGTTCCAGGAATCCCGGTGTCTTGTGTCCAACAAACTTTTAATATTGTTTTCAGTCATAACTTCTTAGTTTCCCACTTTTCTTTCGCATCAAGTGACAGTCCTTATCAATTTACTGATTCCAAACTTTAAACTTTGGTACATATTAGCGATTTTGTATACACACTAGAGATCTGCAAAGTTAGGCCCGGCCCAATATTTTTAAAAAAAAATTCGGGCCGGGTCGGGTCGGACCTTGGAAATTTTATTAAATATATCTAAATTTATCAATTTTATATTGAATTTTTTATGTAAAATAAAAAATTTTGATTTATTTTATTGAAACTAAAACGCTATATAACATATGTCATTTATTTTAAGTAATTATAAAAATTAATTTCTTATTTAAATAAATTCGGGCCTGGCCGGTAAATTTTTTTAAAAATTTCGGGTTCGAGCCAGGCCGGCAAAACTTTTTAAAAAAATTTTGGGTTCGGGCCGGGCCGCCAAAACTTTTTTAAAAAAAATTTCGGGCGAGCCGGGCTTGAAAAATTAGGCCCGATGCAGATCACTAATACACACTCCTTCCTCCTTCACTTTTTTTCTTCCTATTAAAAAATTTATTATACTTTTTTATATCGCCAGATTTAGAAGTCACTAATTTCTTTAAATCTTTCTTACTATTACCATGGCATGGCCAAAATCTCGAATCCTCTCAACACTCATATCAAAGCTAAAATCATAAAATCCTTCAGCGTGTTTACCAACGCGACAATCGTCTTCCCACTAGGCATGCCTGATGCCATATCTAACCGTCTGCCCTAAAATATATTCTCTTTACTTCTACTGACCTAGAATGCATAAGCAAAAAACACGTTTTCCTTTACCAATGATTGTTCAATATTCTCGCATCCAATACTTTGTCAACACGCTTCTCTGCAACAAACAAGATAGCCATCATATCCCTTTCAGAAAAACTTATATTTTGAACCAGTATCGCCAACAATTTCTGTATCTTTTCCTTTTCATCTTGTCTCTTGTATGACAGCTCTACCCGTATGATACTAATATTCCATGTTGTGATTCTTATCCCGCACTATCCGACAAGTTTTATGTCCCATTTTCATTATTTGTAGATTCACCGGGTTCCTCATCCTCGTTGATTGTAAGCAAATGAGGAGGGCGGGAGGGGGGGGGGGGGGAATTAAGTAATTCGCCCATATTTTGCTGTGGGCATAAGTTTGTGGTGGCTACAAAATCCCTTTCTGACACCAACCCTTTTGAGTAGTTTTTACCCACCTCGAAGGGTGATCATACTCTATCCCACCAATCCTAAAATAGATTTTTTCTAAGAAAATAAAAGGATGTTGCCAATCCCCCGCCATGTTGAGGCAGAAGGTACGATAATTTAATCAAAATATCGTAATTATCAACTCTGCAAAATATTTTTTTGACCAGAACCCTAAAGTTTTAGGTCTAGACCCAGCTATGGTTGAACTCTTTATAAATGGAATTAAGAAATATCATTTAAATATTAAGCAATAATTCTGATGTTTATCTATTTTTCTTTTATTACAAAATATTATATGAATATTTTTAAGTTTATTTTTTAATTGTGATATTCATTAAGCGAAAATGGGAAGGAAATATAGCATTAATATTTTTTGGACTATCTGCCGATATCAAATATTTATCTTAAAAAGCTGGGAAGGTCAATAAATAAAAGACAACTTCTTTTAAACCAAGTCAGAATATAGATTATTATTAATTAAAATGTTGTTCACTGTAAAAATAAATAAAAATGTACCTAATAGTATGCAATAAAATCTCAACAAAATAATTGTAAGAAGATGCCGGAACTGTTCCTTTTGCTAAAAACACCTAATATAATTTTATAATTATGAATATTATAATTTAATATCAATACACTATTATAACTCCCTTCCATTAAATATTGTTCCATCATGACCGGATAACGTATGTATACATTATTAGCTAAATCTTTTGGATTTAATCGTTCTAATTCCTAAAATGTACAAAAATAGGGTTATGTAATTGTTTTATATTATTTGATATTAAAACTTAAAAGATGTGCAAAATTACTGTAATGCATTTTGAATGAAATTAAAAGGTTCCAATTAATGTTATAATTTAAAAATTAATCCAAGTAACAAGATATCTAAATCAAAGAATTTTTGCTTAAGTTACCGGCCTGGCCTCCTAAATTTATTGTCCGGCCTGCCGAAATTTTTTAAATAATTTGCTCGAAGCCCGGCCTGGCCCGAAATTTTCCAAAATATATTACTTTAAATTTAAATGATATAATATTATATAAAAAATCTATAAATTAAATTGAAAAGCACCAAAAGAGTTATAAATCACAAACTTTTAAATGATATTAAAATTAATTGTGCATATATTAAGCTTAAAAGATCTAAACAAAAATATCAAATGAATTTTAAATAATAACGTTTTTACCTTGATTTTTTTGGAAAGAAAATTTTTTTAAATTAAATTAAATATTTATATTTTTATGAATATTAAATATAAAAAAAATTAACCCTTCAATATTCTGGTGGGGTATATGAAAACCCAGGCATGTTAGAAATGATATTACATAAAAACGATTAAATATAAGATCTGGATTCTTCAGTAGCTTCATCAAATATATCTTAGAATCCATTTCCAAATTTAATATATTTCGGTTGAGTAGTTTTTAAGATATAAGCATTTTGTGACTGATTGGGGTTTGTGAGACTCCACCAGATTAAATTTTGTATGTTCAATATTTTATTATGTATTAGTGTAATTTATTTTTATATTGAAGAATAAAGATCCATATTATGAATTATCATGATTATATGATGGATAAGTTATTTTTTTAATTTTATATTTGAAATTTAAAAAACGTAAGCTTTTTTTAAAAAATTAGGCACAAATTATAATTATCCTCATCATCTTAAATCTAGGCTTAAGAAATAAAAATATTTTATCAAGCTTAAGGTTAGATCTATCTTATATCCATATCAAATGAAAATAATTTTTTAATATACATTTGAAATTGGGGTCTATCAAACCCCACCCGAGTACTAACGTCATTATTTTCACCGGAGTATAGGGTTAATATAATTTTTAAATATCATATGCAATAAACTAAATGTTTAAATTAAATATTATCTATTTATCATTAGTTGTATGCCATTTCCTTTTAGTACTTTCCATCCTTCACACCATATCATAATAGCTCCATCGTTTTTACTATTTATTTAACAATTTAATTAATTTTATAAGAAAAGAAATTATTTTTAACTTATTGGATATATTTTATTAAGCAAGAAAAATCGGAAATAAATCTGGTGCCATAATATTGTATAACAATATGAATATTGTATAACAATATGAATATTGTATAACAATATGAATATTGTATAACAATATGAATATTGTATAACAATATGAATATTGTATAACAATATGAATATTGTATAACAATATGAATATTGTATAACAATATGTTATGAAGAAAAGAAAATAAATAACTATAAAAGAAATAAAAATATTTAACTTTTTGGGTATAATTATTTTTATTTTACTAATTTTTTTAATTATAAAGAAATCCTAATTAGAAAATGTATATAAAAATATTATGAAAGCGGCCTTGAATTTTTTATTTAATTGCCCGGTGCGGGCAAAATTTTTCAAATTAAAACAATTGGCAAATGCCTTTCTATTTCAAAAATAAGTATGAATATTATTTACTATATTTAGAATGGAAACGAAATTTAAGAACCCTATATATTAAATGAAATGATAATTGTTAAAAAATAAACTTCATATGATGTAGAAATATACCTAAGGCTATAAAAAGGCTCTTAATCATAGGATATATAATAAAAGCTTGAAATTTTTTAGATTTTGTGTCAATTTTTATATATGTTAGCGGCAATATGTTTTTCCGGTAATCTTTTATTTTTAATCATTTTTTGAACGGTTTTAATTATTAAATGTCTGATTTTTCTGGAAATATATTCCAGCATGTTTAGAACACCTTATAAATTATAGCTTGCCGCTAATTTTAGTCATTTATTTATAAAAAAACGAATATAAATTAAATTGAAAAGTTCATAGCAAAATTATTTGAAATTCATAGGGTAGGTATTCCAAGCATCATAGAAAACATTTGGTAAAATTAAATTCTTAAATTGTAAAAAAACGCGACCTAAAAATGTGGAAGGAAATATAATACAGTAAAACCTCAAAATATGACGAATATTGACAATTTTTGCATAGTTATATTGGACCATGTAATATTAAAATAATTTTTATAATGTGACCATTTAATGAAATTTCCAAAAAAAAGACAAATTTCATTGAGATTCATTTGTAACAAAATTATTTATTATTCTAAAATAAAACAAAGAGAAACAATTAAAAATTATTTTTTGTATAAAAAACTGAAAATATTAAATCTAAATATAATTAATTTAAAATAAAAAAATAAAGTTATTGAATCTCCTTAAAAAGGAGTGATATTAAATTCACAGAACATTTCCATATCAGTAAAACATGAATTCTATATAGTGGGCTTAACAAATTATCTATGAATGCATTAATGGAGGTTACACTGATTAGGGCCATTGCATGTAAATCGATCAAGCTTGGCAAATTTATTTTCAATTTTTATGGAATTTAGCATACAAGCTAAGGTTGATGTTGACCAAAGTTGTTAAAGAATACTTTTCAAATGGATCTAGTCACAGATACATCGTCTAAAAATTTAAACTCAGAGTCTAAAAACGTATTTTGATACATATTCAAAATGCTTAATTTAGAATATATAGTTAAAATTCAAATTTCGAAGTAAATTAAAAAAAATTATTGAGCTGATATTACATCTATATACAAATATATAATTAAAATAATGATTGTTAGATTTTAATAATTCATATATAATATATAATTAAATGATAATTTAATAGTAAAACATTCTCAAAATTTATATCATTAAGGCACCCCGTTTATCTGTAAAGACAATTTTAGCCTTTTTCTACCGGGGCATTTGATGGTAGAGTGGTTATCTGTTGTTAAACGCTACTTTTGAAAGAAGCATCCTACCGCGAACACTATTTTTTTTAAGGTGCATGTTATTGGTTACTTTTTAGAAAGTAGCAGCTACTTTATAAAAAAATGTAATATATTTTTTATATATCTAATGTATGTCCATAAAATTAACATATTAAACTAAAACATGTAAAAATATTGATATAAAAATAGATAAAAAATGTAAAATATATGCATTATTTATTTTATTGCATATTAATAATAGAATCGTCCCTATATTATGATCTCCAAGTCTAAAGTGGGGATCAGAAAGTATAAGTATGTCTCATTAAATAAATGTTCTAGCATGGGGGCAATGTGATATTTAATTTTCTTTTTTTTATAAGGAAAATTATTAAAAATGTTCATTTGAGTATTTTAGTGTGTCAAGACGATTTATTGTCTCATGTATTCGTAGGTATTAGATTAATCAACGTTACCATTACCTTTAGCTGTTCTTTCCAATTAGGTTAATAAAAGATCAGAGTATAAGCACTTTATTTAACCTTCATGAGTACCAAAAATCTACTGTTATGTAGATGAGGCGTCTGATAGATCTAATATTCGTTCTTAAAAATTATCCAAAATTCTTGCCATTCACTTCTGTGAACAGGATATTTTAGTGTCAAATGAATGTAATCAGAATAATAAATAAGGGACTATCGACCAAAGAAGTTGGCTGAATTTGAACACTTGGTTCTGATGAAGGGATTTTAGATTAAATTTTATTTATTGAATATAGCCATTTCTAGTAATATTATCCATAGCTTTCAATCAATCTCTGAAATTTTGGGTGCGGACTTTCTAAATTTAAAACAGTAGATAATAATTTTATTAAAATTGTGAATAATATCTTTTCATATTTTCTTAAGTTGAAGCTGCTCGATTTATTAAACGATATGTCTTTCGCTATAAATTTTTTAAAGTTTTGTGGTTTTCATATGTCTCAAAATTATCTTCTATGACTATCACAATTGGCGGCATTTTATATTTTAAATAACTTGTTTAAATTTTAATATTTTGTTTATAGTATAAATTTATGGCATAAAATTTCAAAGAAAGAGTGAATTATTTCTATCGCTATTTTTTTTTAAAGTAATGCAATATTAGCTAAGTTATTAGATAAAGCTATCAACTCGATGGTTATATCTAATGAATAAAAATTTATATTAATATAATCAATAAATACATTAAAATCCCGACATTCATATAAAATTATTCAATTTGATGAATATCAAAACAGGAGGTGCTAAATGACAAATCGACTAAAATAAAGTGATTTTCGGAAGACACTTTTTAAAATGGGTGAAACTTAGCATGAAGGTTAAATAGATTGTATATTTTATAAAAATCAAAATTTTAATGCTCTAGCTCAAATATATCCCGAGTTATATACCTTTTTAACGAATCTCAAATTATTCAAAAAAAATTTCGTCTATTAATATTTATTATGTAAAAAAAAAAATAAATAATAATTTAATATTTATAAAAAAAAATAATAATAATCTTATATAAACTAAAAAAAAGTGGAAATTCATCATTATTATCAATTATATTTTTTTATTGTTTTAAAGAAAAATAAAACCAATTTATTCAAAAAAAAAGGGGTAAAAAAATAAATAAATATACTGTTAAGTTAAACATTTCTGTACGGTGAAATTTTGAAATTGGTGCCGTGTTTATACAAAGCAACCTGGTTAGTGCGGTTGTCGTAATATCATATAGTGGTATTTGAGTCTTCGAGTGGAAAATATCATATAGTGGTATTTGAGTCTTGAAGTGAATTGTACATCGTCTTCATCTACATCTACGGTAAAATATCATATAGTGGTATTTGAGTCTTCGAGTGGAAAATATCATATAGTGGTATTTGAGTCTTGAAGTGAATTGTACATCGTCTTCATCTACATCTACGGTAAAATATCA